TAAGAATTAGAGTTTCTCTCATCATTCCCTAGTGTGGAAGCAACACATGAATATTCCAATCTTTCTGAAGGAAACAACATATCCCAGAAAGGCAAACATGCCATCAAACTTCCCAAATCACCTATATACCAAGGCCCTAATTAGAATTAACTTTGATAGAGATTTTCCTTCAAGAAAAATATACTAACTGAACCAATAATGTAGAGCACTTCAGCAACTGAGAGCTGAAAGCTGGCACTGTGGTCTATACATCATTCATTTGTGAGTTCATTTACCAGCAGCAATCTTCCCCTATGTACTAAGTGCTAGTAAAATGGATTTTTTAGATTTGTAAAAGGAGAGCAGATCCAAGCTCCTAAAAAGTGACCCCCTCTGTCTCTGCTCTTGGTCATATCTCCTTGTGGGGGCCATTAACAGCACCCAGGGAGTTCTCTAGACTGACACTCTTACACTGCATCAATAAAAATCCTTTCCAAACATAGAAAACCTTTACTAATTAGGGCTAATTAAAAGAGGGCACTCTGAGTTACTCAGACTATTTAAGACTTGTGGTTTAATTTTAATTACATAGAACAAGAGGATGTACTATTCCATTCCTAAACAATTTGCTTGAGTTGTTGGGGAAAAAAAACACATTAATAGATAAATCCCCTTTACAAATAACATTAACAATTTGTTTATGAGTGAAAATGAGTTCTTAGCATTATTTATTTATGCATACAGAACTGGGGTACAGGCCAGAGGTGCAGGGGCTGTGAGAGGATTCACGAGAGGCAGAATGGGAGCAGAGCAGGCAAATCTATGAAGTACACTGCTGAGGGGAGCAGCGGGCGGGTCAGGAGAGGTCTGTCTGCCATGTGGATAATCTCTGGGGCCGGGGATAGAACTAGCACTGAAGTGTCTGGGGTCGGCTTGCAGAGCTGTGCTTTAATGCAAAGCCACCAGGGAGGGCCAAGTTTCTAGCATTTCTAAAAGTTTCAAAGCAGTGCTATAGTCTTAAGCATTCTGCTCTTAATCTTCTGTGCTGTTAATTTGCCTAATAAATTCTCATTCATAGACAATGATATGAAACATCAATGGCCCCTGGGAATTATAAAGTCTGAAGCATTAGAAGAATATAATTTTTTAGATCTATAGATCTAGTATATCTAAGAAATATGCAAGAAAGTCAGCATTACACTGCTGGAATCTGAAAACAGCTCTCTTCAAAACTGTGTGCTCACGGCTTTTGTTTAAAAGCAAGCATCTCTTTTCAGTAAGAAAAAAAAATTCTGTTACTTACACAAAATTAAGAAGCACCAAACCCTCCCTCTTCCATCATGAAAGTGTATTAAGTTATACACACAGATGTGACAGTTAACATCAGCTAGCTCTCCCAAACACTGTCCACGTGGATCCCAGTGCGCTGGACAATTACAAAAGCAAGGTCTTCACTGCGGAGGAAGGCACAGCGCCTCTCTGCTTCCAAGTCAAAAGTCCTTCTGGAGAGGCCCGCTGGGGGCTAAGGACCCTCCTGGCTGTCCTGGGGCCTGCAGGCAATGGCCCAACTGTTGGCCAGCCCCCTTCCCGCTCCTGAGTCAAAAAAATTTTAGAAGACACACCGTTTGCAATTCTGCTGTTAGCAGCCAGCGACAATGTGGATGAAATGATGTATGGTTTTCAGGGCCTGAGCGCTGCCTGTGCGCTGAAGTAGAGGGTCACGGGAGAGCTCGCTCTGACTCCATGGGATAGGCAGCCCCACCACTGCCATGCTTCTCTCAGCCATGACTCCTGAAGCGTGGGTTACTCTCAAACCAATTTCAAAGGGGTCTCTTTCTTTTGTTTTTATTACCACCTCACCACGCTTCCTAGAGCTATTCTCTTCATGTATGTGCTGGTGCACAGATGGGGGAGGGGCTCTCAAAAGGGAGACTTGCCCTCCAGAAACACTTTAAGTTGCTCCAAGTGGGGAAACTAGGTGCCACTCCCAACAACCAATGTGTGGAACTTGCTGCCAAACGTCCTGCAGGGAAGCCCCACAACAATGAACCATGTGGTCCCGTGTGTCCCCAGGGCCCGGGGTACAACCACCCTAGACAAAGGCATGACCTCAAAATCTCACCTCACAGGCCACATAAATATGACAATGCTCAGAGGGGTGATGTGACCCCAGAAAGTCCCTTTCCCAGAGCCCAGTAAAAAGGTACAGTCCTTCCAGAAGAAACCAGTGACTGCCAGGTTCTGGCTGGGTTTGACTTGGCTCCAATGTTTACAGGGTCCCTGTGGACACTGTACATTTGTGAGACGGGAAATAACAGGCTCCTCTGTAGAATAAATACAGCAATTTGGGTCTTAATGGGAGCTCTGACACACACCGCCTCATTTCAGTAGCACCACGCATTAACCTTTGAAACTTCGAAAATGGAAGGCACCATTTTGATAAAGGTTTCTAAGTTACAGGAAAAATATTAACTGGGTATTAAATCAACAACAAAGAGAAAATTAGGAAAGCAAATAATTAGATGGTCACAGTAAAGTCAGTTCCCAGAACCCAGGTCTGAGGGGAGACAGCATTCTGTATCAGCAAATTGATTTCATTTTTCACAGGCTGGGATAAACTATCAACTGCTCCTCATTTCTTTTTTCGAGGCAGAAACATAATTATTGGTAGGTGGTAAATGGCCTATAAAATCTGTTAGCTTTATAGTTCCATAGCCATGGCTTTATTTACTTTCATGTTAGGGATTTGGGAGAGAAAAAGTGAAATTAAGTATCTCTAGCTGGATGTGTGTCTGAGGTAACAAAGGAGAACCAGCCATAAATTTGTACAGCCAAAGCAGACACTCCGGGTCACCTACAATTAAAGGCTTGCTTGTGACAATTGTTTGCTTTACAGGTGAATACAATATATATATATTTCAGAATAAAAAGGGAAAAGGCTATCCAGTCTAACTCGAAGCTTGATTAGCACGAAGCACGTCACCGCAATTTATTATTTATATTCTCAGAGCTCCTCCGCAAGCCTTCATGCTCTCTTCTCCTTCTCTGCCCTGCCCAGAATCAGCAGCAGCATCACTGGGAAAAAAAAAAGAGATGACCACAGAGACTTAATTCAACTGCACAGTGTGAAGTTTTGGTCTGGTGCCTTTTTAGAGAAATAACTGACATTTTCAGGCTGCTGACATCTTTTATTAAAGTTTCCAATTGTCTGATTGTATTTTAACTTGATGACATGCAGGGGGGGTGGGTATGCAGGCCATACTTCCACATCCCATCACACAGGTGAGGAAAGACTCTCCAGAAAGCCATCTCACTTGGCCACAGCACCCAAGCTCATGGTGATGTTTCAGAAGCAGAACTCTCTTGATCCAAACCTTGCTGAAGCAATCACACAGAACGTCCTAGAACTAAACCCTGGAAGGAAGAACAGCAGTCCCTGGAGTCCACCAGCTGGTCTGGTGTGATCAGCTGGACCTTGGTAGTGCTAGAATATGCCAGGGCTCATGGCTGGACTCTGCTACGCTCCTGTGGACCACAGACAACCCCACAGTACATGGCATCAGGCAAGGCCCTGTGCTGAAAAGGATGAACAGAAACAAGGCACTCCCACTCGAAAATCCCGTCTGAAGCTATAAAAACAGGAAGGTTGTCTGAGTCACAAAAATGACTAAATATTCCTCTCCCTGCACCAAAATGACAACTGCTGCTTCATTAATATTTACAGCGTTAGCCTGGCTCTCAACTGCTCTTCTACTGGGGGAGGATACCTCCTCTTCCTGACAGCACTCCTATCTACAACAAAGCCACTACATCACCTCACACAAGCCTAAATCCCATGACAGGTTCCTACTGACGTCCTCTCAGGGCCTCCCCCAGGGTGCTGGCCACCAAGGCCCTGTGTCCATGCAGAGGGCTGTTGCAGGGCCTGGACTGACAGTCCCGACACATGTAGTCAGAGGCAGACAACACAAGAGTCAGACCCAGATTTTTACACATGGTTATATAAGAGCATTCTCCTAAATCACAGCAAAGTAAGACCTCAGTAATTCCAGGACAGCTATTTGAAAAAGGAGAGAAAAACCCATGATAGGGATTACTGGCATCATGTCTACTGTAAACCTGACAGTCAGATGAAGAGGAGTCAAACAGGATCGAGGCAGGTCAAAAACTGTGACTTGGTTTACTTATCAGTAACCTCTTAACACAAGGCTATGTACCATGTTTCGACATGCTGACGAAACATTCCAGCTCTTTCCAGCCGAGGGCAGGAGTTTATATGACGCAGTAATAATACTTACCAATTCTGAAGTGGACTGCTAAATTCCTTTTAAAAAGTTGAATCACAGACTGTGTCTACTTTACATTAAAATATCTGGCCAAAGTGTGTGTATGAGTATGTGTCCCATTCCCCAGGTTTTATCTGCAACACATTAAGTATCCTGAATTTCTGAATTTTTGATTGAATTCAGTCATATTGTCATCATGTAGTCAAGCTCATGACAAATGATAACAAAATATGCAGAGTGAATAGTAATAAATACTTAATAAAAACTGGCTTTCAAATAAGAATGAGGTCTTTCTGAGTAGAATGTGTTAGAATATCAGAAAAATCAATCATCTAGCTATTACTGCTTTAATTTCTCCTCACAAATAGAACAAACAGAAAAATATTTGGAAACAAGGAGGACTGGCTTGATATCCTGTTTTTAACATCATACCACAATCCCAATTCTCCTTCTTAATGTCCCTGCACTCTGAAGACTAAACATGGACCCACCCCACCTACAGCCAAGTGTCATTGTCTTCACGGCGGCATCACAAATGGTTTCCAAGTTACTAGGATTTCCCTAAACACCCTTTCTGGACATTTTATCATCTTTTACCTATGACCTTTAGTCTATAGGATGCACACAGAGAATCTTTAACAAAGTCTTTGAATTTCCTATTAATTTTAAATTTGTTCAAATAAATATAGTCAATACATTTAGGATTTATTGGAGGAGAAAACAATTTTTACTCACCATGCTTTTCCCTTCATTTTGGGCATCTCGATAATCAGGATTAAGCTAAAAAACAAAAAAAAAATCAGTTTTCAATGGTTGTTTAAAGTATATTTACTACAGCCATGGGCTTTAATTTAGTTTACTATTGTACCTTTACTTCAGTTTAAAATACACAGAAATGAAGAAAGAAATAATGAGTCAACATACAATTGAAAACATGACCTTCAAGACCCAGACACAGGAAACAGGAGCCATGACGCCAAGTATATGGTGCTGTTTCTACCAGGAGCCACAACACCTCCCAGCAAGTGAGAGCAGCAAAGCTCACCTCCTCCGAGGAGGCGCTGAAGACCGCATCGTGCTGTCCACCACAAAATCTGCCAGGGCTAATAAGTGAAGATACCAGTTTTTTAAAATAGACCAAAGGAAAGTTCTGACAATAATTCAAGATCCTGTTCCACGTGCCATACGCGCAGGAAAAGAAAGATGATGAAGAGAACAAAACAGCATGAGCCTGGTGGGCAGTAGGCTTGTGATGAGGGTGACGGTGGCGAACAAGGGCAGTGCCTGTCTGTGGGCATGGGATGGCCAGTTTAGGGCTCCATCCATTAAGAGGATGGATTCTGGGTATGCTGCAGACTGGCCATAGGACCCCTAACTGTCAGCTCCTACCTGGAAACAGCTGCAAATGGGTGTCTGTGGTACTCAAGGGTAGGAGGTGCTTTACTTACAGTAGCGAGGTACCCCATAATCACTTTGTGCACCACTTTGCTGCGCACCTGTGGGTCTGCTAATCCCAGGTGGTTTATCCAGCCTCCATTTTAAGAGCCCAATCCTATGAGGCACCTTTCACATCAATTAAGAGCATAAAGCTGGATCACCCTGGGAAGGGTGAGCATCACAAGGTATGACTGGGAACGCCAAGGGGGCTGAGGACACATGCATAAACTTACTCCTGACTTATACATCACGAGGTATGACAGGGAACACCCCAGAGGGCCATCGACTGACGTATAACGAAGGACCCAGAAGCTGATCAGTGCCATGCCTTATTGATAAGATTGAAATCCTGGCGGGGGAGTCAGGACTGATCTACATACCAGCTGATAGGCAGATTCACAGTGCCACCTTTCCCCCAGCTTCTAATTCTCCCTTTCTTTTTTACTTCCTCATATGATTAGTGCTGTATGACTAGTCTACCAATAAACTAGTCTTGTTCTTCAGCAGCATCCTGCATTATGTAGTCTGCGCCACGACTCCCATTTCCTTGTCAGTGTGGTGTTGCCCGATGCACCACGCATCGGTGACACACCAGATGCCCAGCCCCACATCCTGGAAGTCCCCCATTTGGAAGGATGGATTTGGACTCCGTCAAGACCTTGAAGTGGTACCTGCACCTATTCATTCTCAGTGATGAGCCATGGAAATGCCAAATGTTAAATGCAATCTTATATCAATCAAACAATAAAATAACCAAATGTGAGGTCAAGAGTATTTTCAGAATGACACTTGGCTGGCAGTTCTGAGAAATGTCACTCCCATCTTACCACTGAATGTCAAGTGAAGGTGTGAAAAAATCCAAACACAAAACAGAACAAAATGAAAAACTCTGGGTCTCACTGAAAACTCAGATTGAAAATGCCAAAGAGCTTCAATGAATGGAAACTAATTAGCAGGCAGCAGGGCTGGGAACTCCCCTTTAACCTCAGGGGTCACACTACCCACCTTCAGCCCTGTGAACACCATGAAGAAGGGGCTGGCTACAGTTCCCACACTCTACCCTCTGACTTGGAGACCTGAGGCTTTAGTAAGCAAAAGCCTACACGGGGAGCATTTCTCTGCTGAGAAGCTGCTGTTACCTGAGTGGACAAAAGCTTCCAGTCTTCCCACCCATGGCTCCACTATCGACCTCTGTCTTCTCAAGACCAGGGAGGAAGGGCAAAGCTCAGAAAACAAATGGGCAGAAGGAGATGGGAGCAGGCGGGTAAGATCACTTTCTGAGACACACCATGTTCAACCACGGGGAGAAAAAAGAAGAACTGGGGTCACACTGGGATTAACTACGTGAATGTACAGAAACAGTGGAGGGCTGAGGAAGAAGCAAGAGAGCCGAGGGACACAGCCCCTTGGTGGGGACCACCTGCAGCAGAACCTTCCTAGAAAGAGGACTGAGAAAACACAGAGCCAGGGGCCTTCCAGCTCGCTTGTCTGAGGGTGGGAAGGAAGGAAGGAAAACAGGCATGGGGCTGATCACCAGGAACGTAACACGGGACCAGTCCTTCTCAGACTCCAACTATTCTTTAGGGTGATATAAAATAGCTTTTCAGAAAATGGTCTGGCACACTTGAGAAAGGACAATAAACCTCTCCACTATGGAGAAACTGCCGAGTAAGGGGAACAGCTGAAGAGACACCATAAAAGCAGTAATCTAAACAAGATCTGAAAATAGAAAAAAAATCATGCTGTAAAAAGAAAGTAAGGGAGTCCCTCCCTGGTGGCACAGCGGTTAAAGTGTAGCGCTCACCCCAAAACTGACCCACATGGTACAGCAGGTTTCTCCTGTCTCACCAGCTGCTCCCCTCATCATTGTATTCATCATCTGCCTGTTCTGCTCCCCACTCTCTCTTGTGAATCCTCTCACTGCTCCTGCACCTCTAGTCCATACCCCAGTTCTGTATGCATAAATAAATCTTTTTTAAAAAAAAATTAAAAAGAAGAAACTAAGGGGGATTTCAGTGAAAATGAAACCATAAATATAAAACTAAAATCCAGGTTGGCAGCAATCAAAAAAACACAGTTGAGACTATAAGAAGCAAGTGATGCAAAGGGCAAAAATGGACAACTATCCTTCCCTACAGGTGAAAGATACAAAGAATTGTGAAGATTCAGAAAAAGAAAATAGTCATGGATCATCAGAGAAGTGCAAATAACAAACAGGTAACCAGTGTACTCAGACAGAAGAGGAAATCAGAGGAACACAGCAATTATCTAAGATGACAGAAAACTAAGCTTTCCTTGACCAGCCTCCTATCTCAAAAAGACCTGCATTTTCTTGATACTACTAATGGGAGTTTCAGTGTAGGGTCCAGAAGGGGGAGCCCAGCTATTCTACTCCAGTGTCACTGTTCTGTATTTTTTAATTTTTCAGTTTGAGGTACATTATAGCTACATTATGCAGAAGAGATGCACCATGTTTAACAAAGGATATGGCCTCCCATCAAAGTTTCCACTCAAAGAATATTAGAATGGTTGGCTACAGACAATGTAAATTCATGCTGGAGATGCACCTTGATGTATCCACAATACATACACAGAATCATACATATACGAATACATACACAGAATCAGGAATGAACAATCAACCACAAAACACATATGCCCTCTGCAACACAGATCATACTGCACCTCAAAAGGCAATGCAACCTTCTCAAAGTCACTCTCCTTTTCAGGATTGTCCAGGCAACTCCCTTAGGAATGGATTTCTGCAGGAATGAATTTGAGACACTGCTCTCTAAGGGAAAACCAGGACCCATGGAAAGTTCTCCTGGCCACCACACCCTGCCCCCATGGAAGTCAGGGTCCTCTCTCTGCAAACTGGGATGAAGCTGAGCACACCGATTACATAGTATTCAGTTCTGCATATTCATGTCTTTGGCAATATAGCTAAAGATGGTGATAATCAGTTAAATTTGTCTCACCTTGTGTCTCAAGCAACCAAGTATTTTTTTTAATAATTAATATAGCGCAATAATGAAAATGAGGAGAGCCACCCAAACAAATCTGCAGCTATATAAATTCACCAATTATTAACAAATGAGCAAATAAATGTATTTTAACATATGCTGTAATTATATTCTTCTCCTCAAAGAGAAATAGAATAAATATATTAATTCTAGAGTGGAAAAGGCATTGTTTGTAGAGATTCCTGAATCTTTTAGGACTCTTAAAAAAATATTTCCTTATGTTAAAAAATAAATTAGAAATTTGGCATTACAGTGAGAGATCTAATATACTATTCAATCATTTATTCAATAAATATTAATAGAGAACCTACCCTGGGCAAAGTTTTGCAGCATATGGCATTTTAGCAAAGAAAAGGGAATGTGGTCCCTGACCAAAAACCTTACAATATAGCAGGGAAAAGAAGACTTAATAGAGTTAGTGGTAATACAAAATGGAAAGTGACAACAGATATAAGAACAGAATGAATAATTTATAATAATATAGGTCAGAGGAAGGAGGGGGTCAGTGGTGGGCAAATTTATTCAAGAATTATTCATGGAGAAGGTAGCATTCAAGATAAGCCTTGCAGGACAGGTAGAACTATAACTGGCAGGGAAGGAGGGAGGCAGGGAAGAGGGCAGGCGTGCAGGAGAGCCAATCCATTCAGATGAGAAAGTGAGACTCCTCCCAGAACACGAGCCAATGTCAATTATGGATGCTTCCCCAGGAAAGCATGTGGCGGGCAGTCTCCTGGCCTTTGACACGAAGCTATTCAGGAGCACAGGCCGATGATGCCCCACTACAGGGCCTCTAAGCTAGCGTCTGACGTCTGTCCCTGCTGCCCTTGTGAAGAAGAGCGAGGTAGCCAAGGCAGGATAGGGCGGAAGACCGGCTTACACCAAGCTGGCCTTTATGCCACAAGCTAGTGAATGTGTATACTCACTGGGGAGATGTTTGCAGAAAGGGCACATTAAAAATCTTCAATTGGCCATGGTTTGTAGGAGATGGAGGCAGATGGTGAAAACAAAGTAACCAAAAGTAGTGGTTTGAACAAGAAGTGGGAGAGCCCCAACAAAAATAATCATGCTGGAAAAAAAATTAGAGCCAGGGTTCTTGGGCTGGTGTGGGCACTGGAGTCAGCTCTGCTCACAAGCATCCACGAATGAGACAGAGAGTGTTTTGTTAGCTTCTAAGGCAGAAACAGGATGTGTTTGCATTTAAAAAAAAAAAATCATGCTAAAAGGAAAGAAGAAAGCAGATGTGAAAGATTTTACAGAAATAAAATCAGTAGACTCCCAGTGTGTAAACAAAAATATATTTATCTTGTCTCTCAAGTTTTT